GTTCTATAATTTTAGTGCTTATTTCTGTCTCCCTTTCTTAAAGATGGGAACTACCATTTACTTCTTCCTTAACTTATGATTGGTTGCCCCAGTTTCAGGGAAAGTGTTGAGGGATTTTGGTTAGTGGCACACATAGTGTTCCCTGCTACTCTCTAATGACCAGGGAGAGATGTTGGCTGTCCCACGCCTTTGAGGTATCAAGGTCACTTAGGAGCTTCTCCACTCCTCCTCAGTTGTGTGTATTTACCCACACTTGTTGGTATATCCCTTGTTGCTGTACGTACACTGTTTTGTCTTCTCCCCATTGGTCCGTTCGTCTTCACCTGTAAATACTTCCTGAAATCTCATGTTGAGTTCTCACGTACCTCTGGTCGTGTTTGTGAGCTCTCCACCTTCTTTCCTCAGCTGATTACCTGCGTCCTTGGACTGGTGTCTTCCTCCTGATGTGGCTGGTAGAGTAGTTTTGGGTCAGGACTTTGACTTTTCGATGCGTATGTCATTTCATTACTGCTGCTGTGCCTTCCGCTTCTATATTGTAGCATACTCGTTTTGGCTCGTCGACTAATCTCTTTATTCTACTGAGTCCTTTGCCCTTCTGGACTTTTTCCATTCTCTAGAGCACTTAGTTTTTTGCTCCCTGCACCTTCGGGTAAACTATGGCTCATCTGTCCTTCCCTTTATTTCTGTTACCTCGGGAACAAACCTTTCCTCTGCTCCTTGCATTTTTTGTTGTTACAATGTCCAATCATTTCTTTACTGTTTTCCTACCAAACTCCTGTTCCCACTGAAATCCTGCAGGACGGTCCTCATTACTGGTAGTCTCCACTTTTATAGTTTGCTTTTTCCTCTTCTACTACTGTTACCCTCTCCACTTTTAGCTCCACGATGGATTTCAAAATATAACTATGTGGTCACTAGCTTCATGGGGCCTTTCATATTGTGATGTGCTCAATGTCTGAGCTACTCAGGGTGAAACAGGTCCATTCTGGCTGGTTCATCCTCCCCACTCTCTCTGGTAGTATCCCCCTAAAACATGTTGGTGGCCTGAGATTTGCCAGCACCACATCATCATCCTTGGCCTTCTCCATGTTTTGGGACCCCCATGTGGGGCTCCATGTTTTCCCAATCAATCTCCCTGTGATTGAGTATGACCCTGACCAGTAACTTTGCTCTAACTTGAGTTGGCCCTTATTGCCACCTAGCTAGTGTCACCATTGCTCTGTTTGCTTTCTCATATTCCTCTCTTGGCCCTCCTTGCAGTTCTGTGGTGGGTTATACATAATTGCAATGACTACCTTGAGTGTCCCTGACTGACTGTACCTACTACTCGTAATCCCTTTCTCCAATCTAGTCCTACCTTCCATTTCTTGTTAACCCCACGGTTTTTAATTACGTAGTGCAACCCCTCCCTCCACCATGCTCCTTTTATCCTTCCTCAGGTCTGCTATCCAGGTGGAGAAGATTGATCTGTTAATATCCCAGTGTGTTTCATTTCTGTAACCGTACGAAGTCGGGGACAAACTCTTGATTCTTTCGTGCCACTCCTCACATTTATTCGTTATTCCATTCGTGTTCGGTTGTACCAACCCATCAACTTCTTTTCTACAGCTAACTGTGGTCTGGGTGTGAGAGGTGGGTTAGAGCTGGGAGAGGGGCCCTATGGGGGGTTCAGTGGGGGTGAGGTGGTGGTGGGGGGAATGGGGAATGAGGGCCGATGTTGGGGTTACAATGGGGGTGGGGGGGTTGGTTGAGGGGGCAGGGCTAGAGGTATTTTACAGTTGTGTGGTTGCTGGGGAGTTACTGTTAGGGTTTGGGGTGTGTTTGGTGAGGGGAGGGATGGGGGGCTATGGTAGAGGTACATTGTGTGGGTTACTGTGGGTTTCTGTGGGGATGGGGTTTGAGATGAGGGGGATGTATGGGTTACTGAGGGTTACTGTGGGGGTGTGGTTTATGCAGAGGGGGAACTGTGTGGGTTACTGTGGGTTTCTGTGGGAGTGGCTGGTTTGTGATGAGGGGATGGGGGCAGAGGTTCAGTGAGTGGGTTTGGTTAGGTATTTTGTTGCTTTAGGATTGCCATGGGTTGTGTTCCTTCTGTGGGTGGTTACTATAGGGGTTGTGTTTGTTCTTTCTGGGGTTGGGGAAGCCTGATTTCTACTGCCTCTCCAATTTCCTTGTCTCTCTATTCCTCCTTGCGACGTTAACACCTCTCTTCATTCAGTGTCATCTGTCTTCTTGTGTCTGTCTTGGTCGAGGTACACTCTACGGAAACACCTGATTGTCCCTTAGGCGTGCTTTGTCCTGCAGATCGTTTCGAGCTGACTCTGCCTTGAAAATCTCTTTTGACTGGATGTTTTTTTTTTCCCTCGCAAACAACCAATTCTCTGAATAATTTGTACAGCTGAGTCATGTTCCGTCCTTCTCTATTGCTTTCATGATGCTTTCAATCATTTTTTTTTTCATCCTGTTTCCTTGCTTGTAAGTTTCCCCCATCTACTTCTTGGTGCCCATAGACGAAAATGGCCCTCTCCCTTTTATCCTCCCACTTGTGCTACCTGAGCATCTGGAGTTTTGTAGACTCCCTCTGACCGCGGTTCATCCCGCCGGGGGTATGGTTTGGTTTCTTGGGTGGCATTGAAAATTGGGTTGGTCAAATGTTTGTTAGTGGGATGAATTGTAAAGGACCTGCCAAGTATGGGCCAACAGGCCTGCTGCAGTTTTCCTCCTTTTTATGTTCTTATGTTCTTAAAGCTGAACCACTCGCCAAGAAACTTCTTCATCGCTATCCCACTAAGAACATAGAAACACTGCAGAAGGTCTACTCACAACTTGTCCAATACCCCTGCCAAGCTACCCAAGAATCTAAACCCCACCCGGTAGATCATCAGATGCAGCATTCTCCACCTGACCTCAACATTCTGAACATGCCTATAAATACTCTCGTACCTTCCAACCCCAGGTAGATCCGTGTGTGACTTGAAAAAGCCTACTGTGTGGGTGAAACGTTGTCAATAAAGGATCACATTATACTGCATTTATGTTTATATTTCCATTGTGTCGGTATTTTATACCATTTATTTCCATCCAGAAATGTCTTTAACTGTGTTGTCTAATATGCCCCTTAAAGGTTTTTGACATGATAACAGAAGTAAGGAAGGCGAGATAAGGGTGGACATATCTCATATTTTTGGACACAAGGAAAACTCTAGACACAGTACCATACAAAATGTGAAAGAGCAGGCGGGAATAATTGGAAAGGCACTATAATAGGCCAAAAGAAACTACCAGGAAGGCTACAACGAGTGATTATTTGAAATGAGGTGTCGGTATGAGTGCATGGGACGAGCGAAGTTTCGCAAAGATTAATACTAAAACTAATACTACTTTTTTATGTTAACGACATGACGAAGAGGATTGAGTCAAAGGTTCATAGATGATATGTAACTAATGAAGTGAATACAAATAGGTGAGAACCAGGAAAGACAACAAAAGACATGGACAGGCTACAGATCTGATTTGACACATAGCTACTAAAATTTAACCCTAGCAAGTGCGAAGTTATGAATACTGGGGAAGGGCAAAGAGAACCACAGAGACAGTGCAGGTTTGAGGAGGACGTAAGGCCTAGGAGGACCTCAGGGTGATTATTGTACTGAGCATATCGCCTGAGGCACACATCCACCACATAACAGCTCCAGGAAATGCGCGTCTGGAAAATCTAAGACTAGCTTTCGGAACTAAGCCATGTGAACTTGATGCACGCCTTATGTCATGCATACTGGAGTATGCAACACACTATGGAACCCACTGCTAGTTAACCGTGGCAAGAAATTGAACTACGTACAAACGTTTGCAACGAGACTGATCCTGGACATAAGGGGTATGTCCTATGATGAGAGAATAAGGTAACCATACATGATAACATTAGAGGAAAAAAGGCTAGGGACTGATAGGAAGGAATACAGGAACACGAGGGCACAACTGGAAATTGAAGTCTCAGGGATGTTAAAAAGTATTTGTTGGGTCTAAGACTAGTCAGCAAGTGGAACAACCTGGAGAGCGTAGTTGTAGCAGTCCTTACATAGCGAAAAGGAGGGTTAGGAGCTGAGACTCGACCCCTGCAACCACATATAGGTGAGTGCTTATTAGTGAGTACACGCAATAAATGACGCAGCATTACAGACTATTCTTGCGAACAAAAGAGTTTAATTAAGTTACCTTGACAAACATGTTGTCAACGTATTCTTTATCTTGTGTGCATGACGAATTCTTGAGTACGCTACGCAGGTCCTCAGCCGTTACTTAGTAAACAAACCGAATCCTAATGTCCAATATAGAGTCTGGAACGAGGGAAGAATGAGTGTTTTCATAGTCTAAGAAATCTAAGTTTTCCCTCACCGGAGGAAAGAAAATCCTGCGAAAACATGATCATGACATACAACATACTCAGAGTAATAAAGAAATTCGAAAAATATCTGCTTTTTCAACATGGGATAAACATGAACAAGAGAGAATGATTAGAAATTATTCTACCAACTTTGTGATATAAATATTAGAGAACTTTCTTATTTAACATAATACTGGTATAGAAATGTGCTGGGCACTGATTAAGTAGATCACAATAAGTTCTCTTATGAAGCTCCTCTATCTTGTGCAAATTTTTGGTAAATGCATTCGAAAAAGTGCATCCAAAATTAAAAAGCTCATACTATGAAAGACTTTCCAAATGGCATTCAGTTTTGGATGCACTTTTTCAACTGCATTTACAAAAAAATATGTGAGAGTTTACTATACATATAGCATTCCTCACAAAATATTATAGAGCAATATTCCATTAGTCAGTCTAAATTTAAAAAGAAAGATCAATAGCTGGAGTTCAATGTCCTTAAGCAAACTGAAATAGGTAACGCCAAATATTTAATGAAAAATTATGTAAAAGGTTTAAAATTAGTGTTCCAACATAAATATATTTTATTTTGTAGTCAACTGCATGTCATTCACTCATTAAAGTCTCTTTACTATAATATATTTCATGTAAGTAAGTGATTATATTTCGTCTCACAGGCAAGGGATGAATATGTGTGTCACCTCTAGTCTTCGTCGCTTCCATTTGTTGTGGATTCTGCGTCTAACAGGTAAGATAATAACCAGTAAACCCTTTAAAACAGAATATATCTCAGAAACGTTAAATTCCGTTCAGGTTTATGTACTAAGAACTCTGGTTAGTGTTATCAGGATCGTAAATTTAACCACATGTGAAGAGTCACAAATTTGAAAAAATGAACAATTGAATTAAACTGTTGAAACAATTCCATTTTACTTAAAAGATACTAAATTTATACCTGATTTTTGATAGTCTATAACATCAACAACTAAAAAACATAAAACTTAATGTCATTCACTATGATTTTTTGAGATCTTACAACTAATACAACTAATACCACTAATACCATTTGCATATGTGTATGTTTATGTATGTACTCATTTAATTGTGGTTGCAGGGGTCTACTCACAGCTCTAGGCTCCGCCTCTTCACTGGTCACTACTAGGTCCCCTCTCTCTCCCTGCTCCATGAGCTTTATCATACTTCATCTTAAAACTATGTATGGTTCCTGCTTCCACTACGTCACTTTACAGACTATTTCATTTCCTGACAATTCTGTGGCTGAAGAAATACTTGAAATACTTCCTAACATCCCTGTGAGTCTTCAGCTTCCAATTGTGACCCCTGGTTTCTGTGTCCCATCTATGGAACATCCTGTCTTTGTCCACCTTGTTGTTCTCGCAGATTTTGTATGTATTTATCATGTTCTCCCTAACCCTCATGTCCTCCCAGTGTCGTCAGGGGCCCATTTCCCTTTAAACCTTTCTTCGTACGACAGTGTGTGTATGTGTGTGTGTGTGTACTCACCTATTTGTACTCACCTATTTGTGGTTGCAGGGGTCGAGTCATAGCTCCTGACCCCGCCTCTTCACTGATTGCTACTAGGTCCTCTCTCTCCCTACTCCTTGAGCTTTATCAAACCTCGCCTTAAAACTATGTATGGTTCCCGCGTCCACTACGTCACTTTCTTGGCTATTCCACGGCCTGACTACTCTATGATTGAAGAAATACTTCCTAACATCCCTTTGATTCATCTGAGTCTTCAACTTCCAATTGTGACCTCTTATTTCTGTGTCCCATCTCGGGAACATCCGTCTTTCACCTTGTCTTTCCGCGCAGTTTTCATATGCTTTGTCATTTTCCCCATAAACCCTCCTGTCCCCCAGTGTCGCGGGCCGATTTCCCTCAATTTTTCTTCGTGGGGACAATGCCCTTAGCTCTGGGATGTCTTGTGCAAACCTTTGCACTTTCTTAATTTCTTGCTTTGCTTGACCGGGTGTGGTTTCCCAAACTGGGTGCTGCTACTCCAGTTTGGGTTTCTGAGTAAAGGGTTTATACAGAGTCTTGAAGGGATCCTTTATGAGGTATCAGAACGCTATCCGGGGTTTGCTAGACGCCGGGTATTGTGCAGCAGTTATCTGTTGGATGTGCCCCTCAGGAGATGTGCTCGGTTTATATCACCCCCAGATATTTTTCTTGAGTGAGGTTTGCAGTTGGTTTGTGTGTGTGTGTGTGTGTGTTGTTGTGTTGTGTGTGTGTGTGTGGTGTGTTGTGTGTGTGTGTGTGTGTGTGTGGTTGTGTGTGTGTGTGTGTGTGTGTGTGTGTGTGTGTGGTGCGTGTGTGTGTGGGGTTTTGTTTTGTGTGTGGGGTGTGTTGTGTGTGTGTGTGTTTTACTCACCTAGTTGTACTCACCTAGTTGAGGTTGCAGGGGTCGAGTCCGAGCGCCTGGCCCCGCCTCTTCACTGGTCGTTACTAGGTCACTCCCCCTAAACCCGGGGAGCTTTATCATACCTCTGCTTAAAGCTATGTATGGATCTTGCCTCACTACATCGCTTCCCAAACTATTCCACTTACTGACTACTCTGTGGCTGAAGAAATACTTCCAAACATCCCTGTGATTATCTGTGTCTTCAAGTTCCAACTGTGTCTCCTTGTTACTGTGTCCAATCTCTGGAACATCCTGTCTTTGTCCACCTTGTCAATTCCTCTCAGTATTATGTATGTCGTTATCATGTCCCCACTATCTCTCCTGTCCTCCAGTGTCGTAAAGGGTTGATTTCCCTTAACCTCTCCTCGTAGGACATACCTCTTAGCTCGGGACTAGTCTTGTTGAAAAACCTTTGCATTTTCTCTATTTTTCTTTACGTGCTTGGCTAGGTGGGGGTTCCAAACTGGTGCCGCATACTCCAATATGGGCCTAACGTACACGGTGTACATGGTCCTGAACGATTCCCTATTAAATTTGTGTCGGAATGCTGTTCTGAGGTTTTCCCAGGGCCCATATGCTGCAGCAGTTTTTTGGGTTGATGTGCGCTTCAGGAGATGTGCCTGTTGTTATACTCACCCCAAGATCTTTATCCTTGATTGAGGTTTGTAGTCTCTGGCCCTCTAGATTGTACCCCGTCTGCGGTCTTCTTTGCCCTTCCCCAATCTTCATGACTTTGCACTTGGTGGGAATGAACTACAGGAGCCAATTGCTGGACCAGGTCTGCAGCCTGTCCAGATCCCTTTGTAGTTCTGCCTGGTCTTCAATCGAATGAATTCTTCTCATCAACTTCACGTCATCTGCAAACAGGGACACCTCAGAGTCTATTCCTTCCGTCATGTCGTTCACAAATATCAGAAACAGCACTGGTCCTAGCATTGACCCCTGTGGGACCCTGCGGGTCACAGGTGCCCACTCTGACACCTCGCCACGTACCATGCATACTTGCTGCTGTCTTCCTGACAAGTATTCCCTGATCCATTGTAGTGCCTTCCCTGTTATCCCTGCTTGGTCCTCCAGTTTTTGCACTAATCTCTTGTGTGGAACTGTGTCAAACGCCTTCTTGCAGTCCAAGAAAATGCAATCCACCCACGCCTCTCTCTGTTGTCTTACTGCTGTCACCATGTCATAGAACTCCAGTATATTTGTGACAGGATTTCCCGTCCCTGAAACCATGTTGGCTGCTGTTGATGAGATCATTCCTTTCTAGGTGTTCCTGTTCTAGGTGTGTGTGTGTGTGTGTGTGGTGTGTGTTTTGTGTGTGTGTGTGTGTGTTGTGTGTTGGGGTGTGGTGTGTGTGTGTGTGTGTGTGTGTGTGGTGTGTGTGTGTGTGTGTGGGTGTGTGTGGTGTGTGTGTGTGTGCGTGTGTGTGTGTGTGCGTGTGTGCGTGTGTGTGGTGTGTGTGTGTGTGTGTGTGTGTGGGGTGTGTGTGTGTGTGTGTGTGTATGTGTGTGTACTCACCTAATTGTGGTTGCAGGGGTCGAGGGCTCAGCTCCTGGCCCCGCCTCTTCACCGACCGCTGCTAGGTCCTCTCTCCCCTGCGTGTGCTTTGTGTTGTGTGTGTGTGTGTGTTGTGTGTGTGTTGTGTGTGTTGTGTGTGTGGCGTGTGTCGCGTGTGTGTGTGTGTGTACTCCCTAATTGAACCACCTATTTGTGGTTGCAGGGGCGAACTCAGCTCCTGGCCCCGCCCCTTCACCGACCGCACTAGTCCTTCTCCCCCTGCTCCATGAGCTTTATCTACCTCGTTTAAAATCTTGTATAGTTCCTACCTCCACTACCTCGCTTGCCAGACTTTCCACTTCCTAACAAATTATGAATGAAGGGAAATTACTTCCTAAAATCCCTTTGACTCCATCTGAGTTTCAGCTTCAATTGTGACCCTTGTTTCTGTGTCCATCTTGGCATTTCCTGTCTCTGTCCACTGTCAATTCACGCAGTATTTTGGTATGTCGTTATCATTCCCTACCCTCCTGCCTCCAATGTTGTCGATCCATTTCCCTTTAATTTTTTTCATAGGACATTTTCCTTAGCTTGGGAAACCGCCTTGTTGCAAAACCTTTTCACTTTCTTATTTTTTGACGTTTTGACCCGGTGTTGGGGGTTCCAACTGGGGGCGTACCCATAAGGGTCTGACGTACACAGTGTAAAAAGTCTTGAACGTTTCCCTTTTAATGGGGTTTCCCGGAATGCATTCTCGGGTTTTGCCAAGGGGGCCCATATGCCGAAAGCAGTTTTTTGGGTTTAAAATGTGTGTTCTGGAAATTTGAAATCGATATTATACCCCACTCCTAGTTTTTTTTCCTTGGGGTGAGGTTTGCAGCCTTTGGCCCCCCTACCCTATATCTGTCTGCAGTCTTTTTTGGGCCCTCCTCCGATCTTAAATTGACTTTACTTTTGACGGGGTTAAAAATTTAGGAGCCTTTTTTGGAACCCCCCAAAATGCAGCTATCAGGGGTTTTCTTTGTGACCTGTTTGGTCCACATTTTTTTTAAATTCCCCTCATTAATTTCTCTTCTGCAAAACAGGGCCCCTTCTGAGTCTATCCCTTCCGTCATGTGTTACAATCCCAAGAATAGCATGGTCCCAGGAGGACCCCTGTGCCCCCCGTTTCGTCACTGGCGCCCACGTGTTCCCTTATCCGTACCATGACTCGCTGTTGCCCCCCTGTTAGGTATTCTTTGACCCCATTGCGGGGCCCTTTCCTGTTATATGTGCCTGTTCCTTAGCTTCTGTATTTAATTTTTTGGTGAGGAATTGTGTCAAAGGGCCCCTTCTTGCGCCCAAAGGGAAAATCCCAATCAACCCACCCTCCTTTAAATTTTTTTACTTCATTTACCTTGTCTTTAAAACTTAGTAGGTTTGTGAAAACAGGTTTTTGCCTTCCATGAATCCGTGCTGTTGTCTTTTAATAATCTTTTTTCCGCCCCAGGTGCTCCCCCCACTCTCTTCCTGATAATTTTTTCCCAAGACTTTGCATACATTTTTTGTCAGTAAACACTGGTCTTTAATTTAGTGCTTCATTTCTGTCTCCCTTCTTAAAGATGGGAATTTAACATTTCCCTTCTTCCAACTTCAGGTGGTTCCCCTTTCAAGGGAAGTGTTGAAGATTTTGGTTAGGGGCCCCAAAAATAGGGGCCCTGCTCCCTCTCAAAGGGGCCCCGGGGGAGAGATGTTTTTGGGGTCCCCCCCCCCTTTTTGAGGTATAAAAGGTCACTTAGGAGTTTCTCCCCCTTTCCTCCTCAGTTGTTTTGTAATTCCCCCAAACA